TTGCATATTATTTTGTAAATCAAGTTGCTTTACATATCTGCTTCGTTTGGGGGTTTTAGGTTTGAAAATATATTTTTAGTTGTTGCAACAGGCTTAGGTGCTAAGTTTGAAAATATGTTTTTAGTTGTTGCAATAGGCTTAGGTGCTAACTTTGTTTTTCAAACATACATTATTTATATTTTCACATTGGCTGGCGGCATAATAATAATAATGTGTCTTTACTCAACTTTGCATACAAAAAAAAAAGAATAATATCTTGAAAAAGTACAAAACTGAAAAGGTGGAGTGTTACCCTAGGGGTATTTTTTAACTCGACCTTAAAAAATGTATCTTTATCATGAACATATTCAAGGCAATGATGTTAATTTATTGTCATGTTAGTCAGTACGTGGTTTTCTATTATAAATTTGGTGTACCGTCTTCTTTTTGCTGGCGTCAACAAAAGTTCAGGGGTAGTTATTCTGCACAAACTACCAACATCTATCTCACAGAAATGTAATTATTTGTTCCAATCATTACATTAATTTTACATTTTTTTTCCTTTTAAAGAATTCTTATTTCTGATCCTTTGGTTCAGTTCTAGAAACTCTCATGTACCCCAAAAAGTTTTTTGAATGGACCTGGCATGCCTTTGATGCAACGCATCTTTTAAATGATAGGAGAAAATATGTTTTTTTTTGTTTTGTTTGAAAGGCAATACAACCGAGTATTCTTAGTTATGATATAAGAAAATTTGTTTATCACAGGATTGAGCACCGGTTAGAAACCACAAATAATATACAATTGTTTAGGCACTACGGTATTCGACGGTGAAGCATTATTTATAACTCACGTTTAAACAGGGTTGTTCATCAAAATCGGTTAGTCGATTTTTTATTGAATAAAAATTTGCACATGTTTGGATGCTTGCCTACTTCTTCCAACTTTCTAATATATAGATACTTGTGTGATATCGATTGAGTAGATCCCGAGCGAAGGATAATTTTTTAGGGCCCAAATCCAATTAAATACAAGCAAACAAGCCAAATGTTTGGTTAATCAAAAATGTGCGTTGTATTATGAGAATGAAGTGTTAGAATAACGAACGTTTATGCCCCTGGTTATGTTTCTTATGGAGTGTAACTCCGGTTTTTTTTAGTGTTCAATCGATAAGTATCTGTTAAAATTAAATAAAACGTGATAATTGGATGATTACATGAATACCTAACTTCAGTATGATCTGTGGCGTCTAGTAAGTTGACTCTGTACTTCCCACGCCACGCTGTCATCAGTTCGTTAAGGATTATGTTTGACACAAGTTAGCCCTTCTGAGAAAAAGTTTTTCCATGAACGTGTATAACAAAAAAATAAACGACCTTCCTCCTCCCCCTAAGAGGAATTGCTGCAGGCGCAGATGATCGTTGCGATAATCAACCCAGCATGAGTGACGATACTGGCCTTCACTATGCGACAGTAGTGTGGAAGCGATTACCAACTGTAATGTACGACCACCGACGACGACGCTTGTCCATCGGAAGACTACGTCGCACGTGTCGACACTCGACTGTAGCAGATATTTCTAAATTTTAAGGGTAAATGTACGGGGATATATATGATGAGTGAAATATGCCTAATATGTGCGTAGAATTACTGGGGTTGGAGGCGTATACATATACCACGCCCAATGTTTAACCCCCAGTATTTCTTGTTGAAAATGATCAGACTCGTCTGATTCGTCAAAAAAGGAAACTATTCTTATTTTTCTTTTTTTGCCTTTTTCTCCGACGCCACTGGACTGATTCTCAAAAACTACGTAGCTTTTGCGTCCTTGGCATAGTAGTAACATTGTGCAAATATTTCATCGAAATCCGAGCAGTACTTCTTAATGGACAGACCGACAGACAGACAGATCAACAGAAATGACATGGTATTTTTGTGGTGTATGTTACATGTCATACAACATCCAAAAAACATAATATTTGATTTTCGAACATTTTCGCGATTACAATACTTCCCCGCCAGCAGGCGTGGATAGTAAAATGAAAAATTCTTGTTAATTAATAGGCGCGGATATTTCGAAAATGGTAAAGGATGTTGGTCAAATTGGAGCAACGTTTCTTATTAACATATAAGAATATATAAGGTAGCAGTGCCTATAAAATCTTAAAATTCGAAGCATTTTTGAAAAAACTCCTGATATTGTCATTTAGGTATGATTCTAGGGCTTGACTTCAACTGAATTTCCACCCTTCAAGCTAATAATTACGATGACAGATATGATCTGCCGTTAAAATGTTTCCTCCTGGTTCTAACTGATTTCTATTTCGAAATTATTATGATAGTATCGGAATTATAATAGTGCATCGTCTGTGTGTTGATAAGGTGACCTCAAAATTAATTTCAAGGACCCAAATTTAATTAAAAAGTTCTTAAGAAGACATTGTCGACCAAAAAAGTAACTACATCTGAAATAGGAGTTCAAACAGACATTAACAGAGCTACTTATAAAATACCCGATTCCGTGACACATTTTCAAAATAATTATACCTTGCTCATATATGCCCATATAGTTGGCTACAGCGCCATCTATGAGATACTAATATTTTCTTATTGCGAAGAGGAGAAACATAACTGTGTCTAATTCTTACAGATGACGCTATGGTACCTCATTCCATCTCGGATAATTTTTTGGGTGTCGATACTATTATCATGTTGACTACCATCAATCAGAATACATTAATCAATGGTAAATGGTATGGATCACTGGATATGTTGCTTCTAATCCCAGCAATACTATTTTCTTCTGATTTTCGAACTAAAATCAGGTTCTTTTCCTGGTTTTTATCAGATAAGTACTGAGTAAACTTGAGCTCAGTTTTCTATTTATCGATTATCTTCCCCCAGATATACTAGCTTTCCGCCTTTGCTTTGCCTGTATTGGCATCCTGTTGAACATCACGTATATCCTTTAAGAAGGACTTTTCGATATCATTTCAAGCACGTACCGTATATCGAGTCCTACATTTTCCTTTCTTCTAGACAATTCAATAGCAGCTGCACTTGTTGTATTTTCATTTCAGTCTTCCTGCTTAAACTTTCATGTATTTCACTGAGTTTGCATTCATGTATTCACCGGGTGCGCGATGACAGATATCAATCAAATTAACAGCCATTTAGCTGATTTGAGTTTAGAGACAATTTGAATTACAAACTAACAATTTTCTCTGACCACGAGGACTAGAGATGGGAGGTTAAATTGCGTAAGGGAGTTGTTTACCGTCATGATGACTGCACAGAACCTGAAATTTATTTTCTGTGCAGTATACTTGGGAGATAGATACCATATGTGCAGCACCTGAAATTCATTTGCTAACGCAGTGTACCAACTCGTCGACATTTTTGACTCCATGAGCTTTACCTTCTTAACCTTCTATCTCTAGTCTTAATTTCTCTGAAAAGTGATGACAGCAAAATGTTTTGTAGCATTGCCAGCCCTCAGTTGATCTCACATAACACACATTTCACCATAGCGACTAAAAAAAATGCAAAAAGGCAATACTACTGGTGTGTCTGATCTGCTATAGTAGTTGCTTCATGGACACATCGTATTTTTTTATGAAAAAATGTAGTTGATGAAGAAGACGGTAGACGCTAAAAAAATCATCCAAATCAGGCAACTGCTTGTGCCAAAAATATGCTGTAACTTTGGTTACCTTTTTGTGATTGTGCGTCAATTTTTTGGAGAACATATCAGGATGGTTTGAGAAAAACAGATGAGCAAGACTTTGCACATCGCAACTTTTTAATTTTCACAAGTTATGTCTTGCGTTGAGACACAGTAATTACAGGGCCGAATAATTTAATACGCGGCGAATCCAGCCAATTGGTAAAGTAGGCGGAGTACCGAGTACAAATCTTACGATTTGAATTCGGTGGAATTTGCACATACACAAAATAAACTAAAGCTAAACGCTACAAAGAGGACAAATCTCACTCAGCTGGGTTAGTTGAATTGAGTTTTGGTAAAAAGAACATGTAATAAATTGAGTAAACTGAAATGAGATTGTGGGTAAAACGAATGCAGCCATAATTCTTTTATAATTTTTTTTTATGGAAAAGCAATGGTTTCTTTCACACACTATATAATTATGTGCTTTTTTATGTTTTTAGCAATTCAATAATCAAGCTGAACTAGAGGAATATTCAACTACAAAAATCATGTCATCTTTATTTCAAGTATGTTTTGATGTGTATAAAAGAAAAACTGAATATCCGTATTCGCATTCGCGAATGTCTAAAAATTGGCATTAGTTACATCCCTTACGCCTATGTTTTGGTTAAAAGAACGTGTAATAAATTGAGTAAATTGAACTGATATTGTGAGCAACACGAATGCATCTATAATTATACAGTTCTTTTCTTAATATTTTTGTGGAAAAGCAATGTTTTGTTTCACACATTATATACTTATGTGCTTTTTTATTTCTTTTTCTAACAATTTGATAATAAAGCTGAACTAGGGAAATGTTCAACTACAAAAATAAAAGCTTCGCAGTCTGTCATGTTCTTTTCAAGTATGTTTTGATGTCGTGTGTATAAAAGAAAAACTGAATATTCGTATACGCATTCGCGAATGTCTAAAAATTTGCATTAGTTACATCCCTTACGCTTATATTTCACTATCAGTCCGATGATATGTCTATTTTTGTCCAATACGTGCGCAGCGATTTAGCCCCCCTGCCTTGCAAATGGCTACTAGTCAATAGCTGGTACAGAATTATAGTTATCAAAAGGCATGTCACCTGTTACTACTCAGACGATATTTCAGAGCTGCTTTCCAGTGAGCTTGTTGAGTTGCTCTGAGTAACTCCGAGTAACTCGGTAGTGCTCAGCACCAATACCGCTCCACTGCACGTTATATTCTGATGCATTGTTTCTGAAGCAGTTCGAGAGCGTATCACTCTTAAACGAAAAACCACTGGAAAGCAGCTCTGTTGATTACATAGATCGCATATGACTTTGACAAACTGAAGGTCAAAAACATCGAGATGATTCAGGTTATGTTAAAATCAAGACCCTAAAATTCCAATGTTCTAAAATCTCCCAAAATACCAAATTGAAATATTACGGACATCATCTTCTCTCTATTTCAGGATGACATACAACAGCTACTGTTCATCAATATATTTCTAACTCGTACCAAAGCTTTGGTTTTCACCGTAATCAGCTCCAGATATGCCGGGAACACGGTACGGCTGTTCTACATCTTTTATTATATCTTTCTAGCGTCTGCTATTGCAGCATCATCATGACCAAGGAATGCGAACACAAGTTGTCCTTTCTGGCAGAATGGAATGACCTCGATTCAGGATACCACAAGAACTTCATGGTGAACTACTATCCTAGTGATGATACACTGGATATCTTCGATAGAGACCTGCAAAGGTTGTATCTGAGGCGCAGTGTTATCGATTCGGTGGATTATAATGATATGTATGTAGGGAATACTATCAGAGTTTATGGAAGGTAAGTTCACAGTTAGATCATATCATGTTGAAAAAAATTAGATCAAGCTGACTATCCAAAAATCGACCATTTTCAGAAAAAACTGCAATAAGCGGTTTTACGACGGAATTATATTCTTCATCGAGAGATACAAAAATGTTGCTGGCTAACTTTTTTATCAACTGTCACAGTTAGAAAAATCACTTTTCCGCGTATATTCAAATAGTTGTGAATTATTGGTGCAAGTGGTACCAAAAAATTTGTAGTTGGTGAAAATGCGTTTAAAATGAAACCTTACACCGCCAATTTTCCATTACTGTTCATTTGTTGTTCTTGTTCAAGGTTCAATTTGCATGATTGCCACAATTATATTCTTTTAAAAAACTACAACAATTACTTAACATACAAATATTGAGACAAACAAAACTTACATCTCTACTTTTACTACTTTTACTTTTCTCTCTATATACGTATATCGGATTTCCATCAATATGTCCATAATTGCACAATCCATCACTATGCTGATGATACTCAAATTTATTTTAGTTTCCAACACAAAGATTTTAAAATTGCAGAAGCATTGCTCAACGAAGACTTAACAAGGCTAGTAGACATCTCGTGCTCGCATAACCTAAAAATTAATCCATCTAAATCTTCAGTTATGGTTTTCGGCTCAAAAAACAAAAGAACATTGATCGAAACGGAAATTAACCTTAAAATCTATGATTGCCGGCTTCCTATAATGAATGAGTGTAAAAATCTGGGACTCTGGATTGACACAGAACTAAAATACAAAAAACACGTAAATTCGTTATGTAGTGCATCATACTACATTTTGAAACATTTTTATCCACATAGGCAAATAATATCTACTTCAGTAAAGCTGAAACTGTGTGAAACATTAATTATATCAAAAATCAGTTATTGTGACAGTATATATGGCGCAGCTTTATCATATAGTGAACAAAGCAAATTACAGCGTATTCAGAATTCGTGCATCAGATTTTCTTGCGGAATACGAAAGTTTGATCATATTTCTCATAAATTTAAGGAACTTGGTATTCTGCAGATTAAAGGCATGCAAAAGCTTCACTTATTGACACTCACACATAAGGTTCTAGCTACCAAACAACCACAATATTTGCATAATAAGTTAACACGATGTAGTGACATAAATCAACTGAATACAAGGAATAGGAATATGTTAGTGATACCCTTACATTCTAAGGCTGTCTACAAAACATCATTCAGCTACAATGCTATTAAATTATACAATGATCTGCCTGTTACATTCCAAAACTATACGTTATTTAATTTTAAAAAGAGGCTTAAACTAAAACTACAAGTCGAGGTCTGATGATGAGTACAAAATGCTAGAAATATGGACTATTCTTGTAATTGTTCTGTGTTGTTAATTATTTAGTAATTATTGAGAATTATGGATACATTTTTGTTGGTAGAATGTTTTATTATATATATATATTTTTTGTTAAGGTTAAGGTTAAGTTGAAAAACGCTAATTTTAGCGACACTTCGCCTTTTTTGTACTTTTACTTAGGTACGAAATAAAGCCCATTTATTATTATTATTATTATTATAATAATTTTCACTGTCCATGAAATGTTTCTTTAATATTGCTTTAAACGTATTTAAAACTTTAGTTTACTATCTGTATCTATACTCAAATATTTAGTTGAATCAACTTTTTCAATTATATCGTCATTTATCCTAGCTGTGATAGTATTTTCATTTAAATATTTAGCATACATTTTTTTAAGAATAATTTAATTTTACTTTAGTTACATTTAACCAATTAATGATTCTTGCCAAATCAGAATTTGGCATCTTAAAAGCAATGTCTATATTTTTATCTAATATGTATATTATTGTATCTTGTGTAAATATCTGAATTTTATAATAATCTAATAAAATTTGTTATTACAAAAAAGGACCTCAGTCAATTTCCACATTTATTTTTTACTGGAAAATGTTTAACAGTGTACCTAAAATAACAGCTTGAAGGTTGAAGCCGTTGTGGTGTTTAACATCCATGAAACATTTTATTTACGAATGCTCAACCGAATCTGCAATTTTCTAATTGTTACTAATTTCATTTTCCATAAAACATTTCCTTTTTGACGAGCTGTTCAGCGATTAATCAAGTGGCCTCATATTGGGCTCATTCTCTTGTTAAAGGACAATAGTTTCTGTCCTATTGAGAGATATACCAGATTTTCTTCAACAACCCATGTAAAAAAGTGTCGCCAGCGGTACATCTATTTTTGCCTTATAAACAATTAGAATAAGTCCTTTGTTTCTTGACAGTCGTAATTACGATGCCCACTACTCAAACGTTGATGAAAAAGAAACTTTTTCGGGACTTTTTGGGGCCGAAATTGCCATAAAAAATTGAACCTACAGCAAAGGTCTACCGGTGTTCCAAACTTGTGCCCATTTACATGCACAAACATCAGTTAGGAGAAGTCAGGCGTTCTAACAAACACGGCTCTCGTGCCTCTTAATCGAGGTGTGCTTATAAGGCAGTAAGGCACTCGGAATATATTGTAAATTTTTGTAAATGAATTATAATTACTTCGATAGCGCCGTAATTGAGGGTGATGTTTCCAGGTTTCATGAAATACTTTTATTAGGGAGTACAAAAATACCTGTTGCATAAGAAAATTAAACATAACCTACGACTCCGAAAAACAAAAACATTTGTAAGGTGTATGAAGTCGCAATATGAAACCATATAGTTTTGAACGGACAGTTTAATAAACTTCAAATCTTGTCTCATACGTGGGCTTAATTGTAACGCTAATGTTGAAGACTAACGTTACGGTGACGTCTTTGAGAAAAATAATATTTCTGCTCCCAAAGGTCCAAAAAGGTACCTTTTTTCATCAAAGCGTGTGTTCTTAATCAGTTTTTCAGTGGTGAGCATCCTAATTACGACTGTAGAAAAACTAAAAGAAAAATGTGTGAATCACTAGTTATGTCAAAAATTACTTATTGTGGTATAGTTGACTTACCATTTGTAGATACAACATCCCTTGCACGCCTTCACAAAAATCTAAAGTCTTGTTACAGATTGAGCAACAGCTTAAGGAAGTATGATCACATCAGCTCTTTCATAAAAGGCATGGAGAGTTTGAAGATAAATTAGCTGTATGAATTACACTCAAGTTGTTATACTCGTTAACTATTACTCACATCCGTACCTCTGTTTCTAAAAAATAAAGTAATATCTCGAAACCATAATCATTCAAGGAACATTCGTTTCACGGAGGCTCTTATAAAGCCTCTTCACAAGACGCTATTCTTCCGTAATTGCTTCACAAACAAAGAAGTTATTCATTATAACGACATTCCACAAAACTTAAAATTGTTAACATATAATAAATTTGAAAGACGTATCAAAAAACATATTTTGGGTAAATATTCTTTGTGATTTGCTCAAACTTACCTCTCACATATTTTATATTTTCATTCCAGATATTTTTATACAACATATTTTTATGCCTATTTTTATATACCTATGTTTTAGCTCATTATTGTAACATTGAAATCATTTATCTTTTGTTCTTCTATATTTTGTACATTTGTTTTTGGGGTTATGTGGTTAAATAGCACTGTGATAAACTTCGTCCCTAATAAAGACGATTATTATTATCATTATCATTATCATTATCATTATTATTATTATTATTATTATTATTATTATTATTATTATTATTATTATTCTAATTCCTTATATTAGTTAGTATAAAATATCTAGTAACTTTCAATAAGGTATTGAACCAAGTCTCTAGCCAAACAACTGATTGATTAATCCAAAATCGCTGAACAGCTCGTCGTTTTCCAGAAAAAAAAATTTTAACAATTATAACATTGCAGAAACATTTGAGCATCTTTTTGCATATACTCAAGAATATAACTGTAAAATTGCTTATTACAATTTTTTCTCTCAAAATCTAGAAATCCTGGTCTACCTACTCTGTTCTACGTTTTGCAAAATCCTTCTTAAATTTTGTGCTGAGCTTCTGGACTGATTTACTGTAATTCATATTAGTTAAAGGTTGCTCAAACATTTTTCTGGATTAATTGTATTTTTGGTTTGCAAAAGTTTGGAATTTTCTTAATCAAGTAATTTTTATCGGAATAATAATACTGTCATGATTTTTTATTCATAACTATTCAGATACCATTTGATGCTTTATATTCAAAAAGATTTGGGAGCTCTTTGTATACAGGGTGACTTCGAAGTTGAGTCATTTATTTTAACAGTGAGTAGATCTGATCAAAAGAAATGTTTTTTCCCTTTACCATTTTTCTGGTAAAATTAAAGTAACAAAGTTATAGCCCTTTGGAAGTTTGAGTACCGCCCTGTCTCAATAATAATATTATGTGCTCGTGTTTGGCAACAACGGATATAATCCGCCTTATCGGTTCATCGCATCGGAAACAAAAAAGCGAAAGAATTTGGAACGATGTTTTTACAATTATTTTATTCAGTTGTATACAGTCAGTGTCAGTCGGTAACGCGTGAGTGAATAGTGGTGTCTGTTGCGTGGCTCAAACGAAATCAAAAATGGCACATGTTTACGAAAATGCTGAACTTGTGGACATGATTTATGCGGCATCACGGATTTATGCGGATCGGTTTCCCAATCGAGTGCAACCAACCCCTCATGCCTTTGTTAATGTAGTACAAAGGGCTCGTGAATCAGGTGACTTAAGACCTCACAGGGGAGCTCATGCCGGAGCTCCAAGACCGCACGATCAAATACAGGTCCGCACTGAAATACTTGTCGGGAGGATACTTTATAAACTAAGGTAACATTTTTTTTTAATTTTTTTTTTATTTTTACACACATATTTTGGTTTATCTTCCTTCTACAATCATTATCTGAAAATTAATGACTCAACTTCAAAGTCACCCTGTATATACCCATGTGTGGACGGAATATTGCTCATAAACAAATACATTTTGGGAAAATCTATTTATGGCATGTTATACC